GGGCATCCGCTATGTAAAAAATGCTGGATAAGTTGGTGGTTCATTCCGCTGTGGCGACCCCGGATTAATAAAGGGACTAAGCCGACAAGAAAGATGAATGAATAAATGATTTCCATGTCAGTTTATGTTTTCCAGAAGGCTGATTAATACTTCTGCAGCCACATCTGATCTCGGGTCAAGTCTGATGGACCTTCCCTTGAGCCTTACCTTGCACTACATTGACAATGACTGGAAGCTATGTCAGAGTTGCTTTGAGACAGCATATTTTCCATTACATTGAAGGTATTATTTACATTAAAATATATTTGTTTACAGAAGATTCAAGAAACGCACTGCTTAAAATATTATTTTAATATTATTATAATGAGTTATTTTATTTAGAAGAGATACTGCTTATTTTCTACTTTTAATATGTAAATCATTGAAAATCATTTATATTTGTTTACAAATCTGCAATAATAATAATTTTCCAAATCTTATTTATTTCAAATTTTAGTTAAATTTTTTGGTTTCAGGCAGTGTGTGTTTTGATGTGTGAGATTTACTAAATAAACATTGATAGTAGATAATGTGTGTTTTCTCCAAATTTTTTGAAATCAAATATATGCACTCTTCATTTAAAAATATCTCGCTTGTAATTTGTGAGCATATTTACTGTACAAAACCTGTCAGTGAACTATGAGGGCAAAAAAAATTAATAAATAAATGAAATAATCATTAATTAATTGTGTTTGGGGGGAGGTTGTTGTTGTTGCACGCATTCTGATCAGCTGTGTTGTCGCACGCATTCTGATCAGCTGTGTTGTCGCATGCGTTCTGATCAGCTGTGTTGTCGCGCGCCTACTGAAGGGCGGGACCGAGGGTGTGCCGCTTTGCTGGGCCACTTTTGATAATTTTGGAAGGGCACTTTCTATCCAAGACTAAAAAGGGCATGTGCACTGCACAGGTTGAGCCCTATGTGTGCACGTGCCTGCCCAGCATAACAAGGGTTAATATTTGATTTCTGTCATGTGTACACATTTACAGTTTTTTTTTTTTAAATATTACTCTGCTTTTATTTATTCATTAAATGTCATAAAAACTTGGCAATCAGCACAACAGATACATTCAATTTAAAAGAAACATGTAGATTGTTTTTTGCATTGCCTGTTGATTTTTGTTTTTTGTATCAATTTCATTCATTCATTCATTCATTCATTCATTCATTCATTCATTCATTCATTCATTTTCTTTTGGGATTAGTCCCTTTATTAATCCGGGCTTGCCACAGCAGAATGAACTGCAAACTTATCCATCATATGTTATACGCAGCGGAGGCCCTTCCAGTTGCAACCATCACTGGGAAACATCCATACACACTCATTCACATACATGCACTATAGACAATTTAGCTTACCCAATTTACCTACACAGCATGTCTTTGGATTTGTGGAGGAAACTAGAGCACCCGGAGAAAACCCATGCAAACACTGGGAGAACATGCATCGATTTATGTTCATTTAAAGGGGTCATGAAGTGCCTTTTTTCATTATTTTGTGCTATTATCTGTGTATTTTTCCAAGTAGTAGAAGTAATGGGCTATTTTTTTGTCCAGTTTTGACCTTGCTTATTGGAGAACACTGTTTGAATAGACAGATTTCAGTCTATAATTACTAAGATTGTTGTTCATGAATTCTGATTGGCTTACGGTTTTGTATTGAAACATTTTTTAACAGTGCCATAGTCCACAACCTGTCATTTTAGCAGATTTCCTTTTATACGAACTGTTTTTAGTCTAACAAGAATGTCTTGAGTTCTGAAACAGGATGTTTAAAATATAATGACCTTTAATACATCCGATAGTCAAACAACTTAAAGGGACAGTTCATCCAAAATTAAAAATTCTTCAATTCAATCAAGCTGACTTGTTTCAAACGAGTTTTATTAGTAAGTAGTTTTTTTTTTTACTTAATTTGAAGAATGTTTTAAACTTGTAACCCTTGACATCTACAGTAGAAAAAAAACTATGGATGTTAATGGTTACAGGTTTCCAACATTCTTCAAAGTATCTTTTGTGTTCAACATTTGAAACAAGTCAGGGTGAACTGTACCTTTAAGATTTTTGGCTTTAGGATTTCTTCAAATGTGAATCGTCAAAACTTACAAAAACTATCATGTCCTGTTTACTGATACTTCAGGGAAATGTCAATGCTGTTTGAATGTTATAACACACAAGACAACGTCAAATTAGCTTGTGTCTTGTCAGATCAATTCAAGAAGGGCACACAAACAAACCTTCACCGTCTGTCAAAGTCTCACACTCTCCAGACCACCTGACGGCTCTCCAACCCAGACATCATTAAACGGCATTTGAATGAAACACACAATGACATCATGCCGTGTGATCGCTATAAGGAAGATACCGAAAACGCAGTATTGAATGTCTACAATAAAAAGCACTACTTGCTCAAGCACTCTTAGATCACACATACCTGTTCATGTATTGCATGAGAACACACTCTTCGTTCTCGAAAGAAATGCCAGTAGTGTAATAGAGGTGACCAAGATAATATACTGAGGGTATCATATTAAAAGTCACCCTTTAGAACTTGTGTTGCGAGTACCATTGCAGCTCCTTTTATAGTTGATAAGATTTAAATCGGAATTACTTTGTTTTTGGATCAGTTTGAAAGTTTTTTTTCTACTCGCACAACCAAGTCACTCTCTATAGAATCTCAGTGGTTTATCTAAACCAGAAGTATCTCATTTAGACCAGTTACTCGAGAAACTGCAGTCAAGCGTTCACACTGACTCACCACCATCAGGCTTAAGATCATACAGTCTGTTCTTAAGATCTTCCTGGCTGGTCTTCTGTGTGTGGGATTGACGATAGTGTAGAGAATATCTTGGAGGAATATTTTCAGTACCTTGTTGAATCTATGCCATAAATTGTTGGTGATGGTATACACTGCAATTTCTGAATTCTCTGCAGTCTAATAATAATAATTGTTACACACAGTCACCAGCCACTTTATTAGGTACACCTTACTAGTTCCAGGTTGGATCCCCTTTTGCCTTCAGATCTGCTTTAATCCTTCATGGCATAGATTCAACAAGCTACTGGAAATATTCCTCCAAGATTTTGGTTAATATTTACATCATAGCATCACGCAGTTGCTGTTGATTTGTTGGCTGCACATCTATCATGCAAATCTCCTGTTCTAACACATCCCAAAGGTGCTCTTTTGGATTGAGATCTGGTGACTGTGAGGGCCGTTCGAGTACAGTTAATTCATTGTCTGGTTCAAGAAACCAGTCTGAGTTGATTCACGCTTTATGACATGGTGCGTTACCTTGCTGGAAGTAGCCATCAGAAGATGGGTACATTGTGGTCATAAAAGGATGGACATGGTCAGCGACAATACTTGGGTAGGTTGAGTCGTTGACAAGATGCTCAAAATGGGCCCAAAGTGTGCCAAGAAAATATCTCCCACACCATTAAACCACCACCACCAGCCTGAACCATTGATACAAGTAGGGCTTGACATTAACTTTTTTGATCACCAGCCACTGTGGACAGTAGATTTCCAACATTACTAGCCACTCGCCATTTTCAGTAGCCACAATTTTCTTGTTGGGAAAACACATTTTATATGCATAAATTTGACTTTAACATGCTTAAATGAATTAAGTTAGATGTTGTTTGATATGTCCACATACCGCCTATTCATTTAACTTTTTGTTTTTTTAAACTTTACTTTAAAAAAACATAAAAAAATATATATATATATATATATATATATATATATATATATATATATATATATATATTTGTCATGTATCTAAAATACACACAGTAATCTGTCCTGACTAAAAGTCCCAGATCACCAGTTAACTACTCATAAACAGGGAGTAATCTCCCATCAAAGCCATGTTATTGTAAAAAATATAATTAAATCATATTAACAAAACTAATTGTAAACAAAAGAAAGCAGGTGAAACACTGTGTTTGATAATGAAAGGATGATCTCTCACGTGCACACGGTTAATATAGAGCTTTAAATAATCTGTTCAAATAATAATTAAAATTAAAGCAGTGCCCGCTGCTGCTTACAAAAGAATGTGTTTTTTTTCTTTTTTTTATCTTGAGCTCTTGAAAGCAGCAGGACTGTGGGTGCATGTTTATCGCTCTTTGTCCAGTCTATTTTAAAGAGATCAGATTGCACCAGTTGTGCTTCCTCTAGGCACAGTTGCTTTGCGCAAGTAAACAGGAGTGCGTGTGCATTTTATCAGTCGCGCACATCACTCGCATCACCTGTGCGCGCAAGCCATCATCCTCTCGTTCGGTATTTACCTTCTTTCTTTTGCTCGGCCGAACACAGTTATTTTTGCTTCTCAATTCTAAATCACATTTTCATGAATATTGGGCCATACTTTTAAGAAAACTACAATTTAAAAATGATTTCCAACCAGTCAAAGTGGCTAGTGGATGTGTCTGTCTAACCCGCCAGAGCTAAAATCTACCCGCATTTGGCGGGTGTTAATGTAAAGCCATGGATACATTCAGGATGGATCCATGCTTTTCATCCATGCTTTGATGTGTTTATTTAAATATTGTTTTTGAGTGTTGTTTTGTTTGTATACATTTGTCTCATGATCCTACTGCTTCAATTTATTGCCTCTGGTTAGATAAATAAATTTTTTAAACCTTAAACCCCAATTGTCTATAACTATAAAATATGTTAAAAAAAAATAATAATAATGTTTTTTACACTACTGTGCAGTTTTGTTTTTTGTTTTTTTTGGTAAGCTGTTCATTTTAATGGGAACACAATTGGGAAAAAAACAAGTTACATTTACTAATGCTGTAAAATAAAATAAAAAATTAATTAGGAAAAAATATATATAAGATAAACTAAAACCATATTGTAGTATTGAGCAAATTCAAGTTACTAAAGGTTTCCTGTTTCTGCATAAAATGTAATAGCTTTTTTATATTGTTTTGTGTTTCACCTTTTTAGTGTTCAGAAGAGAAGAAAGAAACTGAGGAGAACAGCGATGCCAGCAAATCTGAGATCAGCCTGGTCTATGAGATTGCCCTTAAGAGGAACCTGCCTGTTAACTTTGAAGTAAGCAAAGCTATTTTTTTTATTAAAAATTTAAGGTAATGCAACCACAATCGGTAAATTTGATCAATATTTTTCATTGATATAAATGTGACACTTGAGCACTAGAAAGAATAATTCTTCTCCAGTCTCCAAAGGTAGAGAAAGTTATTACAGAAACGCGGCTTTACAGCTAGTCATTGATACAGTACACAAACAGAAAGTATCTAGCAACTTGTGAAATGCTACAAAGTACAACCGTACAGTGCATTCCAGTCGCTAAAAGGCTATACAAAACAGATTTTTAGATTAAAGTCCATTAGAAACTCAAATGCGTTGATTTCAGATGGCAATTAAATCAACCCACAACCTCTACAGTTGTCAAAAAACAGTAGGTAATTTCGACTAGGGATTTTCACACTGGGTCATGAGGGGAAAACACCAAAATTCTTGATTTCAGGAACTATCTCCTATAAATAATGAAAATCCCTTGTGTCTCCTTGAGACAATTTAAATTCTGAATAGGGTTTTAGACTTCCAAATAAAGGCATCATGACATTTTTGGAGCGGGTTTGTGTTGGATTTTTAAAATTCTTTTTTAACTGGAATGTTTTGTCCCCTGCCCATCAAGTTGTTCCAATTTAATCGCCTTCATCCAGCTGAATATGCTTAGATATCCATTCATTTGGTAAATTGAAAATTGTTAGCTTCAAATACAGAGGATAAAGTGGAAAACCAATTATATTAAATGCCGGTTCTTGGTCAAGCTGTCAGCATCAGTTAAATCCCATAATTGTTATTGCTTAAAAGTGTTTATTGTGTAAAGGAAGGTGATTTGGGCGCCATTCAAAATCAGCACTTCATTAAATAACTGTCTGTGACACTTCAGATCAACACGTCAGATCAAACTTTCTCCAAACTCTCACAGTCTAAGGTCTCTATAGCCTCACTAGAACTGCATCCATGTTTATCTTAAATGATTTTCCATGGCTGTCTCCAGCTTCACAATCTGCAATCATCAGCTTGGCTTTTGGCTGATGTTCATTCTTCAAGAATCCGGTGTACTTGCATGCAATCTGTTCTTTCTAGGAAACTCAATCAAAGTGCATTTGGACACACTGTTGCTCTTCTTTCTTAAAAGTTTTGACTGCAAGTCATCTGTGAGAGCCTGGGCCAGTTTAATGTTAGATTTTTTCAGGAATTTTCTTCCCAGCTATTTGTAGGAATGGAAACGTTTTTGTTCCTGATTCAATTAACATACACTCATGGAATATTACAGTGTTACTATATATAAGAGAATGAAAGAAAATTATTTCTTGTTCACAGTTTTAAAGAATAAAAAATGACTTTTCTGTCATCTCTATGATATTCTAGACTTGTATGACTCTTGCTGTTTCACACAGCTGAAGATATTTTCTAAAATGTCCATGATTGAGTTTATGTGGAGCCACTGAAAACACCTGATCATGAGCTGCTTATGTGTAGGAAAAACTGAGTGAATCTTTTCTTTATTTAATAACTGACTTGCGCCTCAGAAGACATTATGCCAACACGCAGTGAACGCGTGGTAGCGTTTGAAGGCGTCAGAGGCTGAGCACAGACACTCTTGGCATTTCTGGAGGTAATCATCTAATAAAACTAATGCTGGCGTTTTAGAATGATCAAAACAACATTTACGATGTTTTACTGTGTGCTCAGCCTCCTCATTTGTCCATTTATACACATTTTTATCATCACATAATATCCTATTACATAATCACGACTTTTTAATGTTCACTGGAATTTGTTCGGTAAAAGTATTTCCATTGTAGTTTATGCACATCTTTTGTTATCCTAATCAGTTATGCGCATTTTGCTTTTTTTTTTTTGTTTTTTTGCGCATCATGGTGCTCCCATCAACTGATTTTTTTGTTGTTATTACATTAATTTAATTTAATTTTCTTTTATTTTTTATAATACGCATATCTAAAATAGGGATGGAAACGTAGCTATTGACTATGATGGAAACAACTTATTGCACAACACCGAGGCACCATTCAGTGATCACTCCTAAAACCCAAATGGATTTTTCAGCTTTAAAAAAAACAAAAGAAAGTACAAGTGATATATGGTTAGTGTGACATAAGAGTGAGTAAAGGATAGCAGAAGATCCATTTTGGGGTGAACTGTCTTTTTAGGTCAGCTTGAATAGTGTCTCACTTGTCCTCTTTATAATGTCAAGGACTACAAGGTTATCAACACACCTTTACCTTCTTTTTGGTGTCAAACTGAATCAAACAGATGCCAACTTCAAAGGGCAAATACATTAATCACAGTTTCTGTCATGGGTGACTCCTTACAAAGATAAAAAAGTGGAAACTCTTGCCAAGAACCACCCATTGCGTACATAAGTACCTTCCCTGAGGGAATACACATCAACAATCCATACAAAAGAGCTTTTCTTCATCATATCAGTCCTTGCCATTGTCCCACCCTGGCCTGGTATCCAGCCTTTTCACCAGGCTGAGGACACGGCGGTCTCACTAATACCGTATCTCCCCTCGCATCCATCGAGGAGATGAAGAATGATCAACCTCATGTTACAGCGATTCCTTCCTACAACTTGATCTCCGTTGCCAGCCATGCGAGACTAGAGCACAGACGGAAGAACTGGCCACCATCAGACACAAGAATCAAACACTTGTTGAAACCCCATCGCTGCCTGAGGATGCCGTATCATCTGTTGCAGACAACACTACCTCGTCTGCCGCCATGGAGGGAGTCGGGCCCTGGTGCCAAGACCTCCTTACAGTCCTCGTTCATCCGATGAGACTCATTCACTAACTGGAACTGACGCCCTCCTACCTTCAATGTTTTACAGTTGCCATGGAAGCTGTGTCAGGAGGCCAGAGATGTACATGGTCTGTTTTGACTTGTTGGTGGTGTACTTTTTTTCTACTTGTTCTCTCCAGCAACATAATTTAGAACACATCATTAAAGTTATGACTTGGCAATGTTTAAATCCATAATTTCGTTTAATGCCAAAAATTTGATATAATGCTGCTGTAACTTGCTTATTCTCATGATTTTACATCACAATCTACATTGTAAAAGCGCTATACAAATAAAGCTGAATTGAATTGAATTGAATTTTTCAGACCTGGGTGACTTTCTTGTTGGAAATTGGAAAGTACATATTTTTAAGTATGCAAAATTTTAAGGGGCCATTTACAAAAAGCACGCTTACTGTAAATGAAATTGTACTAAAAGTAGTTCACACCTCAATTATAATGATAAATTTGTAGAGAAATTTTGTTGGTCACTTTCAGAATAATTTTTCTAGCTAATAAGCAAATATTGTCAGCCGTTCAGAATCCATTGAAATACAAAGGGGTCACACAATTTAAAGCTAAAATGAACATTGTGGACAAACTTACAGTTGTATGTGAAGGCATAGCTTTTTTCAAATATTTAAAGACAATACCTATGTTTCCATCAAAAGAAGCTAATTAAATTTATGCGCATAACTTGAATATCACATAAAAGACATGCAAATAAAGCAGCGTTTCCATCTAATGAGTCAAAGAGAACAAATTTGTCACTTGTAACTAGCACCAAATATCAACCTTAAAATTGTAATTTGCTACAGTAGAACAAGCTGAGTGAATCTTTTCTTTGTTTAATAAATGACTTGCGCCTCTGAAGACAAAATGCCTACACGCAATGAACGCGTGGTAGCATTTGAAGGCTTCAGACGCTGAGCACAAACGCTCTTGGCAATTTTGAAGGAATTATCTAATAACACTAATACTGGCATTTTAGAATGATCAAAACAACATTTCCGATGTTTTACAGTGTGCTTAGCCTCCTCGTTTGTCCATTTACACACATTTTTATCATCACATAATCTCTTATTACATTTATTACATTATTACATTTTTTTTTTTTAATATTCAAACTGGAATTTGTTCGGTGTTTTCAATGTAGTTTATGTGCATCTGTTTTCCTACTCAGTTATGCACATTGTTTTTTCTTGCGCTTTTTTTACATTTATGTCCATCATGGCATTCCCATCAACCGATTCATTTTATGCGCATATCCAAAATGCAGGTTACTATAATCATGGCACATTACAGAGAAGGTACAAAGTCTATTAGCTTTTAGAATCTGCAAAAGTTATAAAAAACGTGATCATTGCCTGGTGGGTATAGTATGACTGTGATAGCTAAATTCCTTGTTTGTAAAGAATTTATGAGCTGGATTCACTGGTCAATGCGCTAGAAATGTAGCACGCAGAGGACATCTGCTGGTTACAACGTGTGATGCAAAAAGAAAATAAACACTTATTGTTTGGTGGTGTGTACACAAATATAGTTATTGCTATATTTATCATCCATACTGTGATGAGCTTTATTGTATTGTATGGACAAAAAAATTACATATGGTGTCATTCTTATCCTTGTTTCTGCCAGAGATTATGCTAAAGTAAGTTTAATGTTAATAAATCTTATAATATGATATTTGTAACAGAATTGCAAGTCTTTTTTGTTAATAGTTGCATTACATTATCTTTATGACTCATCGTGGACAGCAAGGAGCAGTGATCCGCATTTCAAATTCTCTTTTTAAGTTATTTCAGTTTCTGTTTTCTATAAATTCATCATCAAAAAGAATCTTAAAGTTTATATCTCATTAGGACCCAAGTCTCTTCTCCCCTGGGAATTTCCTGTCCAACGTTGTAGCTGATTTGAGTTAGTTGTGTAATCGGAGACCGAGTACAGTATACAGTAGATGTAACTCTGTTCTGTCCTAGCTAAATCACTTTCGGCTCATGGAATAGGACCATGTGGGAGTTCCCTCAATGACAGCTTTTTCCTTCCTCCCCACACCTCATCCTCGCAAGAGAGCAAAAAATTGACATGCTGATATTTCCAAGAGGGAAGTGTAGCTGAATTTCAGCACTTCATTATGGAGTGATGCTCATAGAGGAATTCTTATGTAACATCTACGTGCGATGATCAAATGCATTCCACATCAAGGCCTAGTAAATATTGGGTTATGCCACTCTGTCAAGTGTGCGGGAAATGCACAGTGCTCACTTGTGTTCATGGGTTCCTGGACATCTTCAGATGAAAGCCCAGATTGTTGAGGATCAGAAGCTTGCAGATGAAGATTAATGATGTTTGTCCACACTTTCAGTCATTCACAATAACAGTCTTAAGCTTTAAAGAGACAGTTCTCCTAGAAGTTTCATTTCTCTCATAGTTTACTCACCCTCATGTCATTTGAAACCCAGATAGTTTTCTTTCCTCTGTGAAAGACTAATGGTAACAATGAATGGGAACTGAGATGATCAACATTTAAAATGGACATTACCAATAAAGCAACTCATAGTAAATATATTTGTATTTGTTTTATATAGATTATTAAAGTAGTGCTTTTTAATGTTCCATTAGTCAGTGTTAGTTAATATATTTACTAAGATGAACAAATAGTGAAAAGAACATTACAGTATTTATTCATTTTCCAGTTGAAATAAAATCGCTCATTGTTATTTCTTGTTAACTCATAGTGAATAATGTTAACATGCACACCTTTTGATGGTGAGCTATGATTGGTAAAATAGCAAATTATTAAATAAAATCACACATTTTAGAAAGTTCAGAAGACAACCACTGAAATGTCATTCAGTGTGCCTGTAGTTTATGTTTCAAATATATATATTTGATAATATTTTTTATTCTTGAGAAAGTCTTATTTGTTTTTTTCATACTAGAATAAAAGCAGTTTTTTATTTTTAAACCCCATTTTGAGAACAATATTATTGGCCCCTTCTGGCATTTTTTTTAGATAGTCTATAGAACAAACCATCGTTATACAATAACTTGCCTAGTTACCCTAACCTGCCCAATTAACCTTATTAACCTAGTTAATGTCACTTTAAGCTGTATAGAAGTGTCTTGAAAAATATCTAGTCAAAAAAACTGTCATCATGGCAAAGCTAAAATAAAACAGTTATTAGAGATAAGTTATTAAAACTATTATGTTTGGAAATGCAATAAAAAAAAAAACTGCTCTCTGTTAAACCGAAAACGGGGAAAAAGTAAACATATGTGTATATATACATATGTATATATATGTATATGTATATATATATGTATATATATACAGTTGAAGTCAAAATTATTAGCCCCCTTTGATTTTTAATTTTTTTTTATATTTCCTAAAAGATGTTTAACAGAGCAAGGACATTTTCACAGTATGTCTGATATTTTTTCTTCTTCGGCTAGAATAAAATCAGTTTTTAACTAAAAAAAAAAAAAAAAAAAAACATTTTAAGGAAAAAATTGTTAGCCCCTTTAAGCTAATTTTTTTCGATAGTCTACAGAACAAACCATCGTTATACAATAACTTGCCTAATTAACATAACCTGCCTAGTTGACCTAATGAACCTAGTTAAGCCTTTAAATGTCACTTTAATGTGTCATCATGGCAAAGATAAAATAAATCAGTTATTAGAAATGAGTTATTAAAACTATTATGATTAGAAATTTATTGAGAAAATCTTCTCTCCGTTAAACAAAAATTGGGGGTAAAATTAATCAGGGGGCTAATATTTCTGACTTCAACTATAGATAGATAGGCAGACAGACAGACAGACAGACAGACAGACAGCCGTTTCTTTTTAAGGAAAAAAGTTTAGTGACCGTATAAACAGATTTTACTGTATGTCGAAAAATAATACAATCAGTCACATCACTCAAAATGTGATTAGACAATTTATAGATTATTTGTTATACAGTTAATAAGTCTGACTGACTTTCTCTAAACACATTTTTCATGATCTCATCTGGCATATGGAAAAAATAAAAAAATTAATGCAAAAGCGATTTTTTTGACTGATCCATCCATTCGATGAATAAGCCTTCAGGTTTGATTTCAGTGTGTTTTTGAAAGGGGCACGATAATCTTCCTTATTAGTTTTGTATTATGCACTGGCCCCTCTCAGCTGAGTCTGTTTCACTGGAGTGTCACATGTTTGTATGAATGCCAGAATGATCATGTGTGTAAAGAGAGAGGATGTGAGGAGTGTGTCTCTGGAGACGGATAACTTTCGGTTTTGACTGAGTACACAGAGGCCCACCCTCAGCTGTGGATCTGTATGTGCGTCTGTGCGAAACCTAATCCCCCCAGTGTTGCTCTTAAAGAGCTCAGAGCAGCTCACCTGTTCGCTTCACCATATTGATGATGTAACAGGAAATAATAACCATTACATGTGCATGAAATTAAATTGTGTTTCTCAAGAAATATTCCTTGAGAAATTATTAATATAATGGCAGAGTAGAGGAACAACAGTGAGCACAAAAAAAGAGACGATCAGAAATGTCGTTTGGTTGGGTTGTGGATTAAATAAATTCTGATTGGTCAGCCATTGAACGAACCAATCTTGTTTTAGTTTTCAGAACAGAATTCTTCAGCTAAAGCTGAATAAAAAGCAAAATATAGCAAAATAAAAAAAATATTTCAAATATGGCTGCAAGCAGCATTTAAGGGGCCAAGCAGTCCAGAGGCAGAATGAGCACATTTGTTGGTGCGGTAAACAAAAACCATTTCACCTATTGACACGAATTTCACAACACTTGGTCATCATGGTCTGACAATGATCTGCGTCTAATTTGATGATATTTCAGCAAAAGGTCTAAGAGGAGTTTGCAAGAGAATTTTCTAAAATCAAAATGGTCGCTCCCAAAATGGCTGACCTGGGAAAATTAGATATTATTCTACTCTGCATGCTCTGTCAGAAGTAAATAACCCAGTTTTATGAGTTTTGGACAAAGGATTGAGAAGATTTAAGCAAAAAAAGCATTTTTAAAAATTATGTTTGAACTACTAGAGGCAGTGCACTGAAAAGCTACAGATAACCTCAGACCATGGTTGTCATAACACACACGCCATGTTCGGTGTGAATGCATCAATGCGTTACAGAGATATCGCCTTAAGTCCATTTTTGCAAGCTCTGTTAGATTTGTTCACAAGTTAATTGAAAACAGTTCGTCTAATCAACTTGAATTACATAACTTCCATAAGGTACTTGACCCCTTATTATTTTTGAAAACTACAGCACATACTCAATACTAAATAAACACTTAAATGCAGGAAAGATCAAAATTGGAATTACAATTTACAAATTACAATTCAAGTATTTGGAATAAATCTGTTTTCAAAATTTGACAAGAAGGATCTCCAAACTTTGAAGAATCTATTATTTAAGTCTCGGGTGCTATATTTGAGTTTTTCTTGCTTTAGATATGCCATGACATGTTCTATCCATTTAGTATGTTTTGGTGATTTAGTTGACTTCTACTGCAAAAATATAAGCCTTCGGGCCAACAAAAAAGAGAATGCTAGTGCATTTAATTGACCTGCTGGTAGTGCAAGGTTTCCAAGTGTCACACCAAATATTGCCATTACTGGATCTGGTTTATCTCCTTTTCACATATATAAGAAAAATTCTCAAACACCGCAGACCAAAATGGTCTTGGGGATTGACACGTCCAGAACATATGACCTAAGGTGGCCTCATCTCTGTGGCACCTAGAACATGTTGGATACATTTCTGGGAATATTCTTGACAGAAAAGTGCAGCCTATACATGATCTTAAATTGTAATAAACTGTGTTTGACGCAAATAGATGTTGAGTGAATTTGCCTAATTGTTGGTTGCCAGACAGTCTCTGGAACTATATTTCCTAAGTCATCTTCCTGCGGTTTCTTTAAACAAAAATCTAAAGATGGTGCGGCTGCTTTTTAAATCAGACTATACTCTTTTAATATCAGACCACCCTCAGATGTACTTGGGTCAAACATCTCCTCAAGCCAGCTGTTTATGGAAGGGGCTGAAAGTGTACTAAAATACCCTTTTACTAGACTTCTTACCTGTAGATATCTGAAGAAATGTGATTTAGGAATATCCAATTCTTTAGTCATATGTTTAAATAACATAAAATTATTTCCTTGAAAAAAGTCTCTTGCATATCTGAGTCCCTTTCTTAAAGCAGATCTGAAAAGCATGGTCAATTAAGGATGGTGGAAACAATGCATTGGAAGTAATAGGTAATAAAGAAAGTGCTTGTTTTTGCTTAAAATGTGTCCTAAACTGAGCCCATATTTTTAATAAACTATTGACCATAGGATTGTTTGGCAAATGCTTTCTATTAAGTGGTATTTAGGCACAAAGCATTAAAAATAGAGAAACTGTCCCACAGGATGCCTGCTCCATTTCTACACATTCAGGTTCTTTCTCCTGATTTTCATGATCAGATAAACAATTTTTTCAATGTTACATGACCAATACTCATAAAATAAAAAATAAATAAAGTTGGTCAACGCCAATCCCCCAAGTTCAAAATTCATTTAAAATAAGATATTTTTTCTCCTGCAAAACAGAAAAATAGCGTAATAATGTAAAAAAAAAACCTAAAATGTTTTCAAGACTGTATTAAATGTGCATGACCTCTGCTTCTGATTTAAATTCATTCTTGTGCATATTCATGTGTGTTCATATCTGGTGTGCAAGTTAAAAACCAGGTGCCGTCTCCAATGTTTCAGCGGCCTCTCTTTTTCTTCTTGAGTTATCGATCTGGTTGTTGAAGCGGACAGCTCGATTGTAGCGAGTCTAATTAGCAGTATTCCCATTTCTGCTGGTGAGAAAGAGGATAGAAAGTGCAGAAGCAAGAGAGCGTGCAGCAGACATGGCCTAAGGGGCATGGAGAAAGAAAGCGTGACTGGAATAACTGCTGTTCCCACTTCTGCATGCATGCGTATTCTCTTGTGTAACGTGTTCATTACATGGCCCTCAGGTGCTGAAGGAAAGCGGACCCCCGCACATGAAGAGTTTCCTCACACGTGTGACAGTGGGAGAGTTCTCGGCAGAGGGCGAGGGGAATAGTAAGAAACTCTCCAAGAAGAGAGCGGCCCTCTCCATTCTACAGGAGCTGAAGAAACTGCCAGTGCTTCCTGTTGTGGAGAAACCCAAAGTGCATTACAAGAAGCGGCCCAAGACCATATTAAAGGTGGGTTGATTATGGAGCAGGGATGGAGTGGAGAGTTTTACTGGAATATTAGTTCATCCCAAAAATAAAATTTGCTGTTAATTTACTCGCCGACAGACCTGAGTATTGATTTCTTGTCATTGTGATTGGCCGACACAGAGTACCATTTTCTGATGCTTCTAGCTTTATATAGTTGTTCTATTGCATAAAACACCTTTACTATTAAGTATGACACCTAAAATAAAAATTCTGCCATCTTTCACTCACCTTTAACTTGTTCTGAAACAGTTTTTTTTTTTTTTTCTAATTTCGAACTCAAAAGATGTATTAAAGAAACCTGGAATTCATTGACCTCCATAGAATTAGTTTTTCCTACTATAGATGTAAATGTTAACAGGTTTCCAGCATTCTTCAAAATATCTTATTTTGTGTTTCATCTAACCATACACTTATCTTAACCGTAACCATTTGTTGAGTGGATGTAGATAAATAATTTTAATTGTTTTTAACAAGGACACTGTAAAATAAAAACCCAAATAAAACTTCATCTACTGTTATTATTGGATGACCTAAGGGTGAGAAAATTAACAGCAAATAATTATTTTGGATAAATTATCCATTTAATAAATTTATCTGAAATCTGTCAAAAGCAAAAAATCTTACTGACCCCAACGCTTGTATGTGTGTAGCAGAAAGAATACTACAATACTTGACATCAAGCTTAAAGAATGACAAACACTTGCAATATAAAAATCTAAAAATTATCTTAAATATAAAAATAATCAAAAAATCTTAATTACTGCATTGTTTATTCTCCCTCATGTGGTTTTAATCCTTTTCATGACCATGCACTTCCATAGTAGGAAAAAAATGTTGAAAACTTAACAGATAAAATTTAAAAAATTAAAATTTTTAAATATGTTTTAAGGTTTGAAATGCAAATCAAGTAAATTAGAGACACTTCTTAGGTAAACTAAAGCGTATTAAAGTCAGTCAACCATACTTGTTTTATCCATACTGATCCTGATTTTAGCATATACAAGTGCACACACACATTTTGAGTGAACAGTGAGAACAAACACACAAATACACACAGTGAGCATACACCCAGGGCAGTGGACAAAGTCTAAAGCACATGGCGCAAAAGCATCAGGAGTATGTCCGAATCCACTTTTGCTATAAAGGACGGGAAAATACACTCTGCACCTTGGTGCATGGTTCAACAGGGTTGTGCTTATTCTCTTAATGAGTTATGGGTGTGTTTATAACCAATCAGAGTCCCATCTCTCATTCCCTTTAAGAGTCAGTTGCGTCATACCCTGGTGCATTTGCTATTTACATGGCAGACCTTGTAAGTTGAAAAACTGAATGCTACACTAATGAGAAAACAATTAAACAAACCATCTTCGGCATGAGGACAACTAACGAGCCTACTCCATTCGGCCTCTTTACTTTCACTTTCTTTTTACTTTTACTCTTTACTCCTTTGCTTTCGTTGATAAGGAAACGATGTTGTACACATTCCACTGAAGACATCCATTAGCCTACATGTTTAACTTTGTTTGTTAAGCGCAAAGATTTGTTTCAAAATTATTTTTAAATTCAGTTCTTATTTCCACCAAACGAATAAAATAAACCATAATAACGAAGTGTGGTCAAAAATCCACACTTGTATCCACGCATCCTATTGACAGGTGGACAAATCTAAACTAGTTTTAATTAAAACAAATATCCAAATGCATATAATAAATAATACTGCTAAAAATAATATCAATATACAAATGCAAATCGTCATGAATAAACTAAAAAAGCCCCCGAGATGAAGCACAGAGGTAGAAGATTTTATATTTGTGTGGAAAATAATAATTTTTGTTACATTTTAATACATTTTTTACATGTAAAGATATTTGTGTATTGCTGTACATCCTATGTGTATTAAGCAATGTGTAAGCATTTGAACCCAGGCGCATAACTAACGAGATCTGTGCTGGACTAGAGCTACTTTTAAAAGATCAAGATCGCAGTCTATTTCAGATCTTTTAAATAGCAACGGGCCAACGATTCACTTTACCCAGGGATGTCACAATTAATTGTTTCAACAGTGCACTTCGATGGAGGCGCGGAAAGTTTGGTATCGGTTCAGTAATAATCATAACTGATTAATTTGTACTGACGTCATTTATCTTAGATGTGATCTGTTGCTGTAGCTTACTATGGCGAAGGAGGCGAGCGCGAGTAACGCTCCAACTACTTCAAAATGCAGAAACTGTGCACAATTTCACTGTGTGTGTGTTTGCTTTACAGTCTTTCACCGCCACTTACAGCAGAAGCCCCTATTTCACTGCGATTAAGAGAATGAAAGTGAACTCCATTTCTCTCTCTCTCTCTCTCTCTCTCTCTTTCTCTCTCTCTCTCTCTCTCTCTCTCTCTCTCTCTCTCACTGTGGCCCGTTTGAGCTGCTGGCGTGACTTTTCCTCTCCTCTCGGCTATTACAGTGATACTTCTGGATACAGACACAAGTGCATGTCTGCAGAGTTTTCTACACAGTGTCTATTATGAATCAGCTGTGTTTGCCGCTGCCGTTAATCAGTGTCGCTCATCTGTGAAGATTGCCAGCTAGTTAGAGCCACTCACAGCCCTTTCTGTTGAGCATGTGACCAATCAAAGCGATGTAAGAAATAACTTGCTGGACAAGGCTCAAAATGCTTGTGGGATATTTATATTTGTATATTTGCTATAAATCCTCTTGTTGTTTAAAGGAACAGTGTATATATCTGACTGTTTTTATTAAAGGACAAAATTTTCTTACAAATAGTATATAAATAAAATATTTTTATACATTTTAATACAAGAATTGTTGTGCTTTGAAGAAAATATAAAGCTGTGTATGGAAAGCATTGTCAATGTACCGTGATGCACTGAGATATGGAATTGAACCGAATCGATGACATGATAATCCTAACCGAACCATGAGACTAATGTAGTTTCACACCTCTAGCTTTAAAACACCTCTATTTTAGACCAGCACTCCCATAAGTCCACAAAGTGGCGCAAATGAATTTGCTATTTAAACAGCGTGGTGAAAAACGTGAATATTAGGGTTGCGTTGATCAGAAAAAAAGCTACAAATCCTAAAATACACGTCCTGCACCTTATTGCGCAGGGTGCATGATAGGGCCTTGGGTCTCATATAATACATCCACTGTTAGACATAAATAAATATTTCTTTACAAATTCTATTGTACAGACTACTCATCTCAGCATCTTAAGATTTAGACACAGAAACACTTAAAAACAACATCAAAAATATAAATGTATACATATGCATGTAAGCAAATAGATGAAATGACAGAGTCAACAAACTTGCTCAGATTCTGTTTGGGCTTATACTGCTTTCATGAGTTACAGGTTGCATCTTTATGAAAGTAATTGTCATTTGGTGTTTGTCAGTCACAATTCAGTGCCCAGTTGTTTTAATAAATAAAAACTGTATGCTTAAAGTTTCATATGTTGTCTTGTACAGAAAATGGAAAGCTGTAGATGTTCAGAACAACATGAAGGCCAGTAAATGATGTCTGAATATTAATTATTTGTGTGAACTGCCTTAATAATTTTAGTCGGTTCTCTTTTGTAAATTCAAGACCATTTGAAAGCATTTTATGTAACGCAGACTGTTTGTTTCTTCACTCAGTCAGTCACTCATTCACACACACTCATTCACTCTTTTGTCATTCTTTTGACAGAGTTACCGACATGAACATTAACCAGCCGTCCATCCGTCCGCCTGCTGCTTTATCAGTCTCTCATCCTCGTTCTCATTTTCTTTTTCATTCTCCTTTTCTCTATCAGACAGGACCAGAGTACGGACAGGGCATGAACCCTATTAGCAGACTGGCTCAGATCCAACAGGCCAAAAAGGAGAAGGAGCCTGAATACATGCTGCTTTCAGAGAGAGGGATGCCTCGTCGAAGAGAATTCATCATGCAGGTAAGATTAATAAGAAAGCGAATCAAAAAGTATAAAGCAAAAGAAAAAAAACTGAGGCCAAGAAGGGGGAGTGAAGGACAGATGAGTCCTGCACAAACACTGATAACCTCCCACTGTGCAATCCGTCTTAATCAGAAAGACTGTCACCTCCTCCGGCTCTGATTACCACTGACCTTCAGCTTTGTCAAAGTCAGCCAGAGATTTTTTTAACACACAAACACACAGACAGTTGCAAAGTCATTCATAAAAATGTATAAGTCTTAATGCATATGCTTAAGTTCCTAACATATACCCCTGAAAGACCCAAATTTATAAAAACAAAAAAAGCTAAGCAAAAAAAAAAAAAAACTTTTAGATGTTATTAAAGGCATTTAATGAAGTTATAATTTTAGCCTTTGGAGTAGCTGAAATACATTGATTCTAATTGCTGTCTGAACAAAAGTAACAGCATCTAGTTTTTTTTTAAACAGGTGGTACTGCTTTTGTAGGCCCACGGCAGTAACTTGATAGATAGATAGATAGATAGATAGATAGATAGATAGATAGATAGATAGATAGATAGACAGGGGGCTTTTTCAGTTTATTAATAACAATTTGCGTTTGTATATTTGTATATATTTTGTTATCATTATTAGCACTATTATTTAATATGCATATTTATATTTGTTTAACAAAAACAAGTTTAAATTAGTCCACCTGTTGGGGCATAAGAATAGGATGTATGTTTGGACATTACTCAGTTTTATGACCACACTTTATTTTAAATTTTTTATTTAAATTTTTATAATTTTATTGTTAATTTATTTGTTTGCTGGAAATTAGAGCTGAATGTAGAAATAGTTTTAAAACAAATCTTTCTGCTTAACAAATGAAATTAAATATGTACACTAATGGATGTCTTCAGTGGAGAGAGTAAAAGTAAAGTGGCCGAATGGAGGAGGCTTGTTCTTTAACCTTGCGCTGCAGATGGTCTGTTTACTTTTTGTAGTGAAGTGTTCAGTTTTTCCACTTACAAAGTCGCCATGTGAATAGCAAATGCGCCATGGTGTGACACAACTGACTCTTAACGGGAATGGAATGTTAGATGAGATGCAGATTGGTTTGAGGCATGTTATGCTCAAAACACACCCGTAACTCATTAAGATAAGAAGCGGTTTTAGACACTCCCTTAATGCTTTTGTATCATTCGCTTTAGAATTTGCGCCTAGATCATTAAAATACAGCCATCACATAGATAGTTTGTTTTCACCTGACTTACGACATTCAGTTGGCGTTTGTTGGATCGTGAATCGTCTGAGATTTTCCAATAAACAGCAACAAACTGACTTAATCAGACTGGGTTGCAGAAAGGCTTCATATAAATGTCTTATTAGCTTAGATAAGGATTATTTAATTAATTATTCAATTATTGTGGGTGGCAATTGTTGGGGCAGTGTGAACCTGACAGTATTTTTTTGGTACCAATCGATACTGAAATTTTAAAAACGTCCATTTCACACTAACAATTGAGCTCTGTTGACCACATATCCAAGCACTGCTGATGGACTTTTTTGTTGAGACATTGCTCAAATGTTAGCGGGAAAGGGACCTTTTTAAAATTTCAGTAAGATTCGTACAGAAATTCCAGTATCGTGACAACACTACTAAAGTGACAACAGTAACTTGTCCTTGTTGATTCAAGCATATTTCAAAACTTATGCACAATGTTGTGCAAAAATCTTGTGCCTAGCACAACAGTTTTGCATTTCTTTCAGTGGTGTATTGTATTGTATGAGAATTCACTTTTAATTTGTTTTAAAAAAAAACATATGCACTTAGCACACATTACATCACTGGCTGGTGTCCACTGGTTTATTGCAGGTCATTAAAACAACAATAACTGTACTTCTTGTTGCCCAGTGAATAAAAAAGACTTTTACCTCATACAGGAAAAAATGAACCCCCCTGTAACCATAAGAGCAGTTCTCAGTCTCTGAACAAAGACGCACAGATACAAGCAGAATTGGCTCAAGATCACTTCAGATTTCCACATACATGTTGAAATGCCTCCAACTTGGATCTGCTATTGATTTCTAGTTTGTGACTGCAAATCATGAAAGAATCTAAACCCTCGGCTGAAGATGACCAATCAGAAATCATGCTGATTATCTCATTCGAACTGAGACAAGTCAGACATTGGAGTCAAGTAGAGAAATGTGGATTTAAAGAGATTAGTTCACCCCAAAATGAAAGTTCTGTTATTTATTATTTGCACTCATGTCATTCCCATTCCCTGAGACCTTTGTTGATCTTCAGAATGCAGATTAATATATTTAAGATTAAATTAGAGAGCTCCCTCATCCTCCACAGACATCAATGATCTCAGCTCATAGTACAGATAAAGCTCTCAGACAGCGATGCCCAAACTAGGTCCTGTGAACCAAAGTTGGCCCATGGCAACCTTTTATTTGGCCCACCATCAAATTTAATGTGACTGTTTGGTCGTTTTATTGTTAAAAGCTATCTGAAATAACTGTTTCAATTAAACAGTGTAAATTAATCAGATTTTGTTTAAATGTACATTAGAGCTGCGCAATTAATCAAAAAAAGATCATGATCTCGGTTTGACCCCCTAGACGATCTTAATCAAGCATTTCTACGATTCTGTCAATCATATTTTCAAGTTCAGGAGAGAAGCAAAGGGGGCTGCACGAGTCTTTTCATTGTTTCACACACGTTGCTCAGCGACACGGACAGCTCCAAATGATGTTAAAAGAGTCACATACTGTATTTAGAAGTTATAATTTACCTAAAAATGTCATTTTTGTCTTCATATCATGCTGTATTTCCGGCCGGGAAATCTCAAATGACGTGAGCTACTGACTGTGCGGGCACATGCCCTACTTAATGATAGACGCATGCGCGTCTACTTTAGTGAACAGAACCTGCCTATGCTGTGAGTAACAGGTAATAAAGTTTTGAAAAAATAATATTCAGTTTGTGGCAAAGAGTGATCGCTTGAGAGCCAGTGAATTAAATGGTCTAAAAATGTTGTCAATGACAGATTGCAAGCATATATCTGAAACATAATTCAACATCAGAATTATTACAAGTAGAATAGAATTTTTTATAGAAACCAGTAGACCTACACATAATATTGATATTGTTGTTTTACCATATGTTTGAGAAAAAAAACTATAATCTCATATTAGGCTTTATTTTACCTCTACAGAATCGTGAGAGAATCGTGATCTTTATTTTAAGCAAAAAAATCGAGATTCTCATTTTAGCCAGAATCGTGCAGCTCAATGTACATGCTTTTTTAAACAAAAGCATTAAATTTTTTTTGTCTGATTACAAGTGTAAATTGTTAAATTATATAGAGGTAATAACTTATAAAATGCAGTTGTACTAACTAATATTAACATAATAACTAATAAAGCTTGCTAATGGAACCTTATAGCCTGTTTCTACTGAGTGTTACAGTATGGATCATCTTTATCAGGCTTGCCTTTCCACTGTCAAAAGGGTACCAATGGTGTGGTTTACGAAGGAAAGTTTCAGTTGAAGTCATTCTTGCTTGAGGAAATGTCAAAGTAAAGCTCTACGGGTCGTTCACATATCATATGAGAAGCACTTCTCACGGAGTGCTTTATACACATAAATACTTGTGTATAAATGTTCATTAAAACTTTTCTATGAACAGGTTTTGATTGTAACTGCAGATCAATGATACTGCGAAACAGCCTACTGTAATGTCTGCAATCATATAGAATAAATAAATAAATGCAACATATATGAACACATGCAGACCCTTACAGTCTCTGATATGTTTCCAATTACAGTAAAACTACACACAGTATAGATTTATTCCTTATTTGGGTTCAAAAAGAACACTCAGCATATAGTCCAATCAGTGCAAACCTCTCATCTGTATCTTTAATCTTTACCAGCACATGTAACCTCTTGTTTGAAAATAATTTTGTTATTTCGAGTTCATAATAGTCCAAAAGGTGATGATAATAGTTAAACAGTGTGCTCATATTTTAGGTTGCTGAAGGAATCATTCGCTCTTTTGTTTTTTCGTGCTTCACTCTTGCGTTTGTCTGTTTCTGAAAGGATGTCAGAAGCACTGCAATAATCACACGCATGTTATTATCATGAGAATATTTTTGTCATATTATCAAGTTTGTTATTTTAAAAATATACACATGGCGAGCGATCGTGAGCTCTCTGGAGAAAGTGAAGCCACTCGGGCTTTAGACGGCCTTATAAACAACTATGGGGCACAGGGTAGATTCTGCTCTTCTTGGCTTTGTGGCTGTTCATCAAGACAAAAAGGTTTGTTTGAGCTCGCGTCGACCATGGTTCATTATTGAATGTTTATATTGTTATGGTGGAATGTCTTGTGCGTTTAAAAATTGTGTGTTTCCTTTGTTTTTATGCTCCTGTCTTGTGCTTGAGCTAGTGACATATCTTTGTAAACCAATAGCGTTAAGCTGTGCGCTGGCTTCGCCTATTGTCAACAATTTGTTGTGCTAGGTACTTTTTCTAAAGGGTACCCAAAAAGTAGTACGGTTCGCTTTTTGGAACCTTTTGACAGTGGAAATGGCCATCAAAAATGTACTGAACTGTACCATACCATTCAGTGGCCATTATTGTACTTTATAATCCTTTTGCGGTTTAATTTGGTTTGTTTTTTTAAAAATGAACTTATACATATAAAGCAATACACTACGTTTTTTGTTGTTATACCTGTTAACATATATTTTTTGCAGCTTTTGTCAATATCTTGATAAAATTGTATACCTTAACCAAAGCTTCAGCTATTAATCACAACAAGAAAATTTGATACCATCATAAGCCTAGATGTAGTTCACAGGAGTTATATATACAGTTCTACTCAAAATAATTCTACAGACCTCATTCATTTATTCATTTTCTTTTTATCTTAGTCCCTTTAATAATCAGGGCTCGCCACAGCGAAATGAATGAAAGGATGCCCTTCCAACTGCAACCCA